TTTTGGCAGATGATCCAGAAGTGGTTTGCCGTTGCCTTCTTCTGTGTGTGAATGGAGTAATTGTTGGGATGCCACGGAGAAACCGGGGAAGCCCCCGTAGGAAAACTCCGTGTTGCCTAGACCACGGCCTTGCCCAACACAAGTTATAAATTCGGGCACCGCCGGGAATCGAACCCGAGACCCCAGGATTACAAGGCCAGCGTGGCGGCTTAGTGGACCGATATCAACCAAAAATTTAAATATTTTTACATCGACTATATCTCTTCAGAGTTAAGTTTTATGGAATTCCTTTATGTAGTTCGGGAGATGAAACATGCCATGATTTTATATACCCATGGAAATCGATCACTTACTACAGATATTCACGCCTGTGTTGTATCGTGGAGTCTAGCCGTGGTCTTATTTTCTGTTTAAACAAAGTGCCTAGGAAAAGAACAGAGTCTTTTAATTGCCACAGTAAATTACAGCACCTTATCTTTCTTTGCGAACTTTAAACGTCCCAACCACGGATATTTACACTTAAAAAGTCTGTTGATTGCCTTGAAGAATTGTGCCAATATTATGTAGATATCCTTAACTTTCGGGGTTCATATAGAGAAATTATGATATCGTTTTGGAGACTAGTCATGAATTTATTGGAACTGGGATGACCAACTTATTTGTTGACAGCGTGACCTAAAATGGAGTCAAGAAATCTTTTCCACACGCACCTCCTCAGTTGATTAAGTATATTCTCCGGGATTTTGGTACCCAAAGCAAATGGATAGAAGACTGTATGATTATGATGTAATGCAGATGTTTTGATTTTTACGACTGAAAATTTTTATAAATTTTCTTTTCTGTTTCAGGTAAGTCGTTTTGACTTTGTCTTGGCTTCGATGGTAACTATGGCGTCAAGGTAACACAGACGTTCCAGTCTGCCCTTTCGTAATACCAGTGTACCTACTTGAAGTGTAAGTGATTGGTTGTCAGTATATCGACTGGATTTATATGATATTTTTACTTTAAAATTAGTGGCTACAGTCGGTTTCAAGAATCTGCATTGATGAAACTATACCTGAAAATATAACAGTAGTACTCTTAGAACTAGGCTAGATTTTGGGATTCCGTTTCATTGGGCACTGCAAGCCACGTGTCGCTTGCTGTTTCTACAAGGTGGTCGCGGACCACGTCGGTTCCCGGACCCCACGGTGTAGTCTCCTAGATGCGTCAGTACTGATTAATTCTCAGGTTGTGTTCTAATACTCTGGCTATTTTCGACCACATTTTCTCATCAGAATGCCGTCTTCGTACTCCCAGAGGTGGCAACGTTTAAGAGTGGTGTGGTTTTGATGGCTTATTGCTTGAAAACTTTTAAGAGTGGTGTGGTTTTGATGGCTTCTTGCTTGAAAAACGTGCGTTGCAAGTCCTTTTCGTAACTTTTTAAGTTTTGGCTTGATTTTTTAACGTTGACATTAAGGAATAAGCAGTTGAGTGGACTTTAAACCCATTAACCAGTGGCCACAAAGTGTCTCTATCTTGAGTTCATTTATATACCACGTGCAATGTAGGCCCAAGGCTCCGCTACAGGCCTTGAAATATTAATTCCGGTTGCTTGTTTGATGAGAGTGCTCTAATGGCCTGAGGATCGCTGTTAGCCTTGTTGTCCATGTGCCAGCAGGCAGGCATATTCCGGAAATCGCTTGTGATTTTCTCTCAAGTTGCGTCAAACCGCACGGAGTCCATAAAACGAACGCTTATTGGGTTAGTCGTTGTCATTTTTTTTTATCTCTAAGCTACAAGATCGGGACCTTCTGGGCTAGGGGCTGTTGAGTGAATCTTATTTTGACACGTATCTCTCAACTTTTTCGAAAATTTGTCATTGTCCGGCAAAAATCAAATGGTGTACACGAATATGTACGTCTGGAACGTTTTTTATTATTATTATTTGCTTATTAATAAGTAAATGACTTCGTACATTGTCTAAATTACAACATTACATCGTTTTATTATGAGGCTAGCTCTTTCAGTTGGTCTGATACCGTTATTACGCTAGCTAGCTAGTTAGTTACTAGATGATCAAAGCAGAATTTCAGCTTTGGAAACTTGATTTTATAATCTGATAATTTAGACGTTGGACGGAGTCCAGAGAAATCTTTTTTACACAATATGATGCACAATCTTTAGAAAATTTCAAACTTGAACGTCGAGAAATTATGTTTATGCACTAGGATATATTTTAACTGTTGGACAGCTTTGTCAGTAACATATTAAGACGCATGAAAATGTTGTAAAATCGGGAAGAAAGAATTTAAAATATCTCCGCGGTCTGGAGCAGAGTACGTCGTTTACACATGGGATGTAATTTGTGTCGTATTGAGATCTGCAGCTTTAATTTGAAACACTTTTGGATGTGATACATATTTAGCTAAATAGAGGGAAACTAATTTGTGCCTAAGTGCACTGAAATATCAGCGTTGTCGCTTGATGTGTGTCAGAGTTAATTTATGGCTGTCTGAAAAATCTAGTTAGCTGTTTACTCAAACTATTTTATTTTAAAAACACAGCTGTAAACGACGCTGGCGTACGTGGTCCTTTCTCTTGTCAGCCACTAAACACTTTGTGTTGAATATAACTACATCTTTCTTTCTTTCATTTCAGAACTTTCTTTTCATCTGCTATATAAGAATAAAGATTAATTTTACTAAACTATAATTTTACCTTTAATTTTGTATGAGTGTGAAACTTCTGGGTGATTAAGTCGAGAAGAATGAGATGGGCTGGTCATGTAGCGCGCGTGGATGGGACAAGAGTGTGCACCGGGTATTGGTTGGGAAGCCTGAGGGGAAGAGACCGCTGGGGAGACCTAGACGTAGATGGGAGGATAATCTCAGACGGGATCTATGGGAGATAGGAGTTGAAGGAGACTGGATTTTGTTGGCCCAGGACAGGGTCCGGTGGAGGGCTTTGGTTAGTTCGGTGATGAACCTTCGGGTTCCGTAAGCCATCTAGTTAGTTAGTTATGGGTGTGAAACTTGGTCTCCCGTTAAGTAGAATATCACAAATTGAGGGTGTTTTGAGAACTGGGTGCTGAAAAGATTGTTTGGCCCTAAGAGGACTAGTGACAGGAGAATGGAGTAAATTACATCCTGAGAAGCTTCATAACTTGTACTATTCACCAAATATTAATTAAGATAACCAAGTCGAGGAGGATTAAATGGGCGGGGCATGCAACAAATATGGGATAAAAGGTTTTAGTTGAGAAGCCTGTTATAGATTTAAGATAATATTAAAGTAGATCGTAAGGAAATAGGATGGGAGGGTGTGGTTTGGATTGACCCGGGTCAGGATAAAAACCAGCGTGCTCTTGTGAACACTGTAATAAATCTTTGGGTTCTAGACACGACTTGAAATTTATTTTCTAGTTGAGCGGTTATGAAAAGGGACTTTTTGTTATCGGCCACTGCAACGCTCAGACACAAACCCCGTAAGGCGGAATTGTGTTGCACACTCCACATTATTCAACGATGTCTGCGTCTGCCAACTTACATTACTTTATATGCCTTTGTGCATGCAAGTTAGTTGCGTATGCTCACTGTGGGTGATAATGGTGGCTCTCTGATGCTGATACCACGTAATGACGTTAATGTTTGTATTGTAAATAAATAATTAGATGTGTTAGCTGCTTATTTGTACTGTTGGCCTACAGTGGAAACAGATAGGGTATCGGTCCTCGGAAAACCAACTTGTTTTACAGGTTTGTGAATGAAAAAATAACTTTTGGAACCAATGCTGTAGATTGGATTTTGTAAACAACAGGATTAGCCAGTGATAACAAGCAGTGTATTGTCTTCTGCTGTTGAGCTCTTAACAGCATATTATTCAACCACCTGCAGCAAATGGTCTTTGTGACCATATCAAAGAAATCATTTTGATTAGCCGTTAATCAGATGCAGTATTCCTAAATATGCCAGCTTAACTGATGTAGGCATAAAAGTCTAAATGATCAGACCTTATCGTGAGAATTCAGATTATAGACCCAGCAAATTAAATATCTTGCATTACGTCGTGCGATTCAGTTCTTGTGCCTCGTTGTATTGTCGTGAATCCTTTGAAAAATAATGCGGGCGTACCGAAGCATGAACCAGAGACCTCATGACGGCTGAAACAGGTCGTTACAGCTTGCACTGACCTATTTACCTGTTTTATGTGTGTGTGTGGGAGGGGGATAGACGCAGGGACTTCCGGACGTAAACATTACTCAGTTTCGACGTACGACGTTGCATTTATAATGGCGTTATTCAATATGAAACAATCGAAGCAGTGCAGGGATTTTCAAGCGATACTTTAAAACATTGGTGAATTTTGGTTCAGAATTCAGGTCTTGCGGAAATTCTTTGTTGTAACCGTCCCCTCCAAACAATCACATATCACTGCGTAAAAATATAAAACATTTATTTATATTCACGTAGTTTTAGTGGTCTGGCGTGCGGTCGCCGCTGATGTGATACAATCATCAGAAAATAAAACAGAAGTTTTTGGAGTGTAGGCGTTCTGCGATGTGGCTCCATTTTGTCTTGTAAGTGGTTACTAACGTAACGTTATGCCTCTGTCTTATATCCCGAATGTTTGTATTTCCAACGCTGTGAAAACTTCAGATCTCATACAATTAGAGTCTGGTTTATATATGACCTAAGTGGAATGAAAATTACGTAAGAAATAATTTTATTATCAGGACTCTTCATTTAATATCGTATAGCACGAAGACTAGGATGGATGGGATTTCAGAATAAGGTACTGATGGTAACTTCGTTCTGTTTGGTGGTTGAATGGGTGGAGAATTTATCTAACGCACACAAACTCCTTACTTGCCCGTGAATACCACATGCTTCGTACTAGTGAGTTTGCTGACGCAAGATGAGTCCGTACATGTGTTGCTATGACCTACAATACCACGACGTAGTGACTCTCCACCCGTATTGAAAAAAATGAGGGAAGTAGATGAGAAGCCATGGCAGACATAAGAATCAGTCCGCGGGACAGACAGATGTGATGTCGGAATATCTTGTTCTTCAAGATTGTCCTTAGGCCTGTGGTTAGAACGCAGAACCCACAATATGATTTCAGAATGTTGCAGAAAGAATGGAAGCTTGAAATTACAGTACGAAGAGCTTGCAGCCATTTATAACTTATATAGTTTATTAAACAATGTTTTTCCAACTTCATATACTACACAGCGTTATATGAAAGGATGTTTTGACAGTGAAGGAATCGGTTGTGGCCTGTTTTAAGAAACTACGTATACCACAGGAAAGTCGCGGAAACCTTAGTAGAGATTACCGACCTCATGGTTGAGAATCTAACCTCGTACCTCTCAGATACCCGAGGGATAAGAAATTTGTGACGCTGAAATTGACTCTACATTCGTGTGTGTGGTTTTTAAATTATCGACGTGAGTGTGAATTGTAATGGGAGAAAACAACAGAAATTTTTAGAATTGAGTCTGACAAGTCGGGCTTCAAGGCAAAAGCGCTTCAGGTCAGATGTTTACTCGTCACCAAGTAAACTTAATGAGCTCAAACCGTGAACAGACACACACATACGGAACTTCTTCAGTATTCCAAATCGGTAAGGATTTATGTTCGAATCTGTTATCACTACTTTCTTTGGACCGGTTTGTAGGATTTGTCTCACTGAGTGACACGGAAAACGTGAAAAATAGAAGATTTCCATTAAACTGATATGAAGGTCAGTTGTTTCGACTTTATTTCAAACGCCGTTATTTATAAATCATTGTCTTCTATCATTGCAACATGGCCGCCGCGCTAACATTTAAAGCAAAAGAATTGATTGCAAGATCATAAATGAATTAAAATTAAATTATTTGGTTATTCCGTCAAATCACAATGTATTTAAAATAAGATAATTAAATAATTAAAATATCATTCTTTGTTCCTATCGAATAATCGATTTACAATTGGAACAGTTACAACATGTTTCGGTTTTATTAAACCATCATCAGGTGTAAAATTATATTAAATTTATAACTCAATTACAATTTTTTTACAATTTTTCGTAGTGTAGTTTTGGAGGTCGTGTCCAGATATTTTCATATAATGGATCAACTTTATTGTTTGAAGTGATGCTTTTGATGTTTACATCGGTCTGTGAAGTAAATGATTCAAAGAAACATAAATGAATATGGATAAATATAGAAAACAATTAAATAAATAAATAAATAAATAATATTATAAGGAAAGTAAAATAAAACATACCAGAGATGAAATAGTAGACAACACAGTTGTGTCTGGAGGTGATTCATAAATGAAGTTTTAA